GTACCAGGCGCCATTAATCAAGTACGTGACTTACAGCAGGTGCCTTACTAACATTGTGTATGTTACGGTTGGCTAGGTAAGTCTATAAATATAGAAAAAGAACTAATCAACAAGGAATTATTCAACAGGTGCAACTAAACAAACTGGACTGGATGGACAACATGGAGGCCGTCTCCAGGAAAGGACAGAGCAGATTGTTCTTCCTGAGGAGGCTCAAGTCCTTCCATGTGTGCACAAGGTTGCTACGGATGTTCTACCAGTCTGTAGTAACCAGTGCTATCTTTTTTGGGGAAGTGGCACCGGGACTCGTGGCGCCAACAAACTGGGCAAGCTGGTGAAGAAGGCCAGCTCCGTGGTGGGGATGGAACTGGACAGTGTGTAGATATTGACTGAGAGGAGGATGAGAGTGAAGCTGAAAGCCATCATGCCCAACCCCTCTCATCCTCTTTATGCTGAGCTGAGGCAGCTCATGAGCACTTTCAGCCAGAGAATAATCCAGCCCTTCGCCTCAAAGCTCTTAGAAGGCTCATCTGTGCCATCAGCCATCAGACTCGACAGCACTACAGTACCCAGTACCTCCCACCTTGACAACACTACAGCACCCAGCATCACCCATCTCCACCGATAGAGACTCTCAACTGACATGTGCAACTCTTTCTCTTTAGAGACACTAGTCGTGTTTTGAAGAAAAGGTTGATGGAAACTACAAATTTGAAAAATCGTCCTCAATTTCGCTAAAACGTTTTTACGCTTGCTAGAGTAGGTTTTTGCCTATTTGAAACAGAGTTAATGCACTAAATGGGAGATGGAAACACATTTGCTGAATACGTTCTGATGTAGCAAACATCTAACTCACATGACTGATCAGCTGTTTCTTTGTCTTCGTCTCCAGACAGCATGAAACCAGTGTTAATTTTGACAAGAATTTTAAATTAAGTTTTAGTCTTAATTACTTACTAGAAATTGTAGTAGGTTTAAAGTCACATCTGTTTTCCTTTGTTTTAGACATATTTTGTCAGTGGACCTCTGTTTTAATTGTAGTCTAATTTTAGTCAATGTTTTTGTCATAATTATCCTAAGGTACTAATTTTGCTGAAGGGCATTCTTGTTGTAAAAATTCCTTTTAAAAGTAAGAATACCTTGAAATATGAGGTAATTCTTGTGGAATATCCAGCTGTGCAGAGAGCTGAACAAAACCGGATCGCAGAGAGGCGCTGCTGGTAGGCATATTAGAAGCACAAAAAGGACAAATTAACAAGACAACAACGTGCGGCTCTTGACCTGGCTTGTGGTCCCACTCATTTGCGTTGCATTGCATTGCCAGAGCAGATAATGTTTTGACCTGTACATTGTAATCTTGGTTCTCTCTTGTATGTTTACTCCTTCCTCGTTGCTTCTGTGTGAATTGGAATTCTCCCTATGGGGATAAAAAGGAACATCTTATCTTATCTGAGGAGTAGGTGGCTGGCTGCTGCTGAAACACAAGAGAACAATGAAGCAGGAAATGGCCACAGGAACCCAGATCACCAGAATAGAGCTCCAGTAATGGGGAAAAAGGCTCGCAATCTTGCAGAGGGCTGAGTGGGTGGTGCTGATTGAGGATAGGAGGAAACTGAGGGATGGGTGGCCACGGTGGAGGCGGCTGAGGTGGCGGTTATCTTTGTGCCCTGAAAGTTAATCTTTATAGATTGTGCATAGTTTTCTGAATGGCTTGTTCGCGTGTGTTTGCTCAAATGCCTGGGGATAGGGCAACGAACATGTGATAATATGTGAAAATATGCACTTGTAGGGGAGACCGGGTATGGTTGTAACATGGGGAGAGTTGTAACAACACCAATTAGAGATAAGATAGGAGTTAGGTTTACCTGCTTCCTCAGGCATGGTGGTTGTCAAGTCTAGAAAGAGGTGCATTCAGAATATGTAGAGAAAAAAATTATTTTGAGGTCAGAAAGAATTTTCTTTTACCAAGACTATATTTTTAGTTTAGTATCTATACTATTCCAGATAAAATTGTTTGATTAATATTAGACTGAAATGTATTTTCTTAGGCAACATGCGATGCATGTTTTCCTTTCTAATTTCAAACCACTATGGTAATACAGCTAGCTAAACATTGGCTGACAGGGGTGGGGTGGGTTGCAACACTTCTTTAAAAATTGTTACAACCATCCCCTATACATAAAACTAGGGACTTTCTTGATTTTTATATTTTACAGAGTGCTCTTTGCAGTCTTGGCCCACCAAGCCTGCACTCCAGGGTTACTAGCATTCATTTGTCAACAGTGACCTGTACTTCTCATTCACATGTTGTTCACATGATGCCGTGTTTATCAGCACTCGATCTTTTCTGTACACAGTCTCTGCCAATGGAGTGCGCAAGAATAAGTCCCGGTACGCCAATGAGTAAAATATAGAAGTGCTGGAACTGCATACCGGTGAGTACCAGCCCACTTCAAGCACTGACTGTGTACCCACATAGACACACACAGACACGCACTTCTTTTTTTGTAAGACCTAAGGATGTACAAACATCTTCTTTTATTAGTTACTTTTAGTAGTATTTTATTAAGTATACTTTTATGGAAGTTTATTCTATTGATAAAATTTACATACACATTGTGTACATGGACGCGAGTCATCAGACATAGTCTATTACAGTGAGAGAGAAACATTCTTTTATATAACTTTTTGAAGCATATCATATAGTATAGTGTATCTGTTTGTGCTTCTTTTGTCTAAAATTTAAATTTAACAACTTACCCCAGCATGTGTTACAACCTACACCGGTATTGGGGTAGGATGTAACAAGGGAACACAATGCATTTGACATCAACTCAAGAGGTCTGTGATATTCTTGTAGAGGATGTAATTGATGCCATTTGCAGTCCAACTGTTTACCTTATCCACCTTATCTATGAGATGATTTTATGATTTATTCATAGCATGCAAGTATTAATTACAGATCCAATTTAAACATGATTCCCAATCAAACCTTACTATATATATATATATGTCTGATGACTCGCGTCCATGTACACGATGTCAAGGTAAATTTATCAATAGAATAAACTTACATAGAAGTATACTTAATAAAATACTACTAAAAGTACCTAATAAAAGAAGATATTTGTACATCCTTAGGTCTAACAACAACAACAACAACAAAAATATATATATATATATATATGCAGTCCTTTTTTCTTGCTATTTATTTATATTTATATTGTTACGCACCTAGATACCAAGTTAAATTCCTTGTATGACAAAGCCTGGATTAGACTGCTTTAGTTTTAGCTAGTAAACCTAAAGTGTACCTAAAGAACTGGCAACTGAGTGTATATAATCATTCCAAATGTTGAAAGTATGGCACTATCCCAAGCTATCTTACAGTAGCATATCAAAGGGTAGGCTTTAGAGTTTTCAATAACATGATCTATGTGATTTTCCAAATCATCCCTTAAATGTTTATTTTTTGTCTTGTGCTGCCCTCGTGTGGATGTTTTCAGCACCATCTGCATTACACAAAAGGTGGAAGGATAGGCCACCTCCTTTCATCTCTGTGCTATATAACTATAACTATAAATATTAACAGTGCAATCATTTGTGATCAACTCAACACGAAACACCAACCACACCATGTTTTCATAAGGTATGTACATTTATTAGAGGAGAGTGAGCCACCAAATTATACAGTACACATTGTCAACCTGCCAAAGGACATTTGAGGCACTTAGCATGAGGAAAGATTTGATCAGTAAAGATTTGAACAGCCTGCTGGACAGGATCAGTTTACTGTACATGATGAGTTCAGCATTTGAGCAGTGAAACCTAATTTGTGGTACACTAGAGCATCATGAACAGCTGTGGGAGACCAGCAAGGGGCTGAAGTGTAGAAAGTGTATTTGAGTATGAACTGAAATTTTATTCAATGACTGTGTTTACTTTTAATTACAGGCTCAACAACTGATAAGTAAGTAACTGGAATATGCAGGTTTGTGATTATCACAGTGCAGAACTCATTTGTACAGTTTGAAATCCCATCAACAGTACTTTCATAAATAACCCAAATAGTTCTTTGGCCTGAGAGCAGTGAAGAAGAAGTAAAGAGCAAAGATGATAAAACAACAGGGTTGTTTTAACATTGTAACATGTATTTCCATCATATAAATGAAACCTTGTGATCAGTCGCAAACATAAACCCACAAAGTGAAACAAGACCTGGAGTACTTTTGGTGTTTGCATCCATTTGGATGTGATCAAGTCAAGCTGTCTGTATGATGGTGGTGAGCGCAATGAATCTTTAGACACTTTATATCGTGTTATTTTACCTTAAAGTAATGAATATGTTAGCAGTAAAATAAATGGTTTGTCTTGGAAAAGGGATGTTATGACCAGAAGTAAGCTTTTTGCAGCAGGGTAGTCTGAAAGAGGGAACAGTTCAACATATTGGGAAATAGGCTTATTCACTTTCTTTCAGAGAATGGGATAAGATGATGGATGTGTACATGGGTGTCAGGATGTGGTTAGCTTAGCTTAACATAAAGACTGGAAGCATAGGGAAGCATCAAGTCTGGCTCTGTCCAAATATATAAGAAATCTTAAAGCTCACCAATTAACATTGTATATCATTGGTTACATGTGTACACAAACATATGTTGAAACACCAATTTGTGGATTTAGGGGAAGTTTCATGCTGGAACTACTTTTTTGACAAAACAATCCTACACCTTCCAAGTCTTGTATTTAAGTGACTTTGATAGGTTTGGTGCCTTCATGCCTGTATGAGCTATACCAAAAACCTGTGTTCACTAAGTGCGTATCTGGCAACTCGCACTGTAGCCGCAGACACTATAGAAAAGTACTGGGCGGATGGATAAATTGGTCTTTGTAAAGAAATAGTTCCAACCACAAACTATAATTTTTACATTTCTGTTTGTGTACAGATACAATTAACCAGTTAAAGCTTGTTAAAAGGGGGGCTTTAGAGGTGTTGGTAAGTGTTTTTTTTTTACTTTGGACAAAGCCAGGATAGCGGTTACCCCTTTCCAGTCTGTATGCTAAGCTAGACTAACTGCATCCAGACTCCAGTTCTGTACACAAGATACATATATAAATAAAAATCTTCTCACCTCACTCTCAGGAAAAAAGCAAGCATAAACTTTATTCCCACAATGTTGAACAATTTTATTAAGAAAATGTGAAAAAAACAAAACAAAAAACATGTACCAAGTAAAAGTTGAATGAATGTTTGGTCTCACTGGTAAGTTACAAATATCAGTGGAATGTAGCGACTACTCATGCTACATTAATTGGACTTTTATATGAAATGATTTCAGGGAATTAACCTACTGTAGAATAAAATGCACTTTTGTTGGTTGGAGTTGTTGATTAAAATGAACATCTAGATAATGCTGGTGAAAGGTGGACCCTGCTGAGTTCAGAACTTCAGTAATTGGAGGCTGGCTGTTTAGAACCATTTTAAAATATAAAACCCTTAGCATGGCTTGCATTCTATTATATTAAATATCACATTTGCATATTGAATGGAATAAAACATTCATTCCATGTTTCGATCGTCATGTAATACAATCATTAAAACCCATCAAGAAAATACAAAGTCCATGTCCTGTTGCCATAACAAAAATGTATGCCAAATGTAAAAATCAAACAAATGTATGTGCAGCATACTGGACTCAATGATGACAGTGAGCAGATTTACAGTACAACATTAATGCAATAAAAGGTTATTGCCAAACACATGGGTTATGTTCAGGGCTCCTACTACACTTAAAATGTCTACAGAGAATGAAAAACAAACATGACAGTAACTATTAAATCACTTCTGAAAGTATTTGATATTAACAAGAAACTTCTTATTGAACCAAGAACCGTTTAAAAAAGGTATGAAAATGCCTTTGTGTTTTTTTCTTGGGTCTCTGGGTGCACTTTCTTCAACAGAAAATGTATGTCAAAAATGCTGTTTCACATTTTAATATCCAACCTCATCTATTGCTGTACAGTTTACATTTTCTCAACCATCGCATTTTGTAGTTCCACTACAAGATTTGGGATTGTGATCCCCTCTCATCATAAAACTAATATGTATACTCAGCACTAGCAGCAGTAACATAGGTTCAAGGGGCAAAAGCAATGTTTCCATTTTCCACAGTGCTGTGGTAGTGGACCAAGTTAGAACAAGCCACGTCAACCTTACCACTCTACTGCTCTGACTTTGTTTTCTATAACAGAAATATTGTATTCATTCACTAATTTTTACAAATCACTTACACTTTGCTATTAAAAACAAATTTCTGTTAATCTACTGTCAATAAAAAGTTACACTTCCTGCACAGATGTTTCAGATTAAAAGCCTTCCAATGGTATTAAGGGCATAGCCTCTTTCTTTCCCGACAGGCTTTAATGTGAAATATCTGCAGGAAGTTTTCAGTTTCTCGGACAGTAGCTAAACAACAAACTAAAATCGGTATAAATAAGGATGAAATATGTTTTACGCAGAGCTGAAACGATTAGCTAAAACTATTGATAACTGATTAATCATTAAAGAAATGTTTCAAGCAAAAATGCCAAACTTTGCCTCATTCCAGCTTCTAAATTGTGATGATTTGCTGCTTTCCTTTGTATTATGTGAATATCTTTGGCTATTGGACAGTCGTACCTCGCCTTGGTCTTTAGAAAATAGTGCAAGGCATTTTCTTCATATTCATTCATTTAACAGATTATACAATTAATCAAGAAGTTAATCAGCAGCAGCATGAATCAATAGTGAAAATAATTGTTAGTTAGAACCCTAGTTTATCATTGTTGATATCCCTTATTGACATATCTTTAATTATAATCTTTACAATTCCAATTATAAATGATCAAAATAATGAAGCCATTTTTCAGCTCTGGCATCTAAAGGTTTTGGAAGTAGATGCCAACCGAGCCCCCATTTGACAAACATTTCTATGTTGTTTCTGAAAGATTGCTATATTTAGTCTCTCTTGATGTTAACATCCTGCACCAACGTCTACTTTAATGAATTAACATTGCAACCCACAAATAATGTACAATCTGAAAGCAAATTCATGGGACCTTTAATATTTATAAGTAAACAGAAATCAAATGTGGATTCACATGATTCACAACAAACCGCCTAAGCCGCTGCCACAAAGATATTGTTAGGTCAAAACTGCATAGGGTGTAAAGTGGGCTGATGTGTATTTCTCAAGTACAGATACAAGAAAGTATTTTATAAAATCGCCTGTCTATTTTCAACACTTGGCAGACTAAAGAGATTACTGTCTAGTTATAACAAATGCATGCTACAGGTTGACAAAATCCTGACAATAGTGTAAAATTATACCCCCTTTACTTAAATCATCATACAAAAAGGAATATTTTGGACCAAACAGTTTATTCATCACAAGCGCAAAACAATTGAATTGGTCTACAAGCTTTAGAGTTAAGCTATACAAATACAGTTTCCTGTCATGTGCAGGATAATAAAAGCAGATACAAAAGTCCCTTAAACTAGGCCTATGCTTTTCTGAAATTTATGAGCAAAAATGACAAACCAGATTAATATGAAATCACCTGAGTAATTAATCCAACTCTGCATACAACATTTGCTGACATTGCCCCCTTTCTTTAACCTAGTGCTCTTACAACAACTCCTAATTACCAGTGTACCATTTTCACAGTTCAATTTGACCTGTGCATGCATGATATAAATCATGTTTGCAGTACATAATTTACCAGAATATGCCTATGAAAAGATAAACTATGATTCACTTAAGAATATGTATTTACAGGAACGGAAATTGAACGTATAGTGGAAGGTCATTAAAAATATACAACTTCAGCTTGTTCCACCTCCAAAAGGACAGAATATCAACCCATTTAAAGGTGATGGAAAACTTTCAGAACAGTTTATTCCAGTCTCTAGTTGCCTCCATCAGGTGCCGTTGGCCATGGCCAATCCAATGTTCTTGGCTGTTGAAGAGCCGACCACAAAACCAGCAGTCAAACACCACAGGCTCTTGTCTACAACCTGATAAAGTTTCCACTACCTCGTACTTTTTTTTGCTTTTTTTCCTTAACTTCAGTTTCAGGAGGAATCGCTCTCGGACAGAACTCCGAACTGGCCTAGGTCTTGGATCATCGCTGTGAGATGACACACCTTTTATCGAGGAATTCTTCCCTAGAGCACCAAGTTCAGAGAGCGCTTCGATTGTTTTCTGAGACAGAGAGACCTTAGTAACAGCACCTTTGTACCTGGTCACTACCTTCATGATATTGGCCACTTCAGGAATGTCAGCATCTGGATGATTGAGCACCACTACAGGTTGGTATCTACGTGGGCATTTGACCTGCTGTAGAGAACTGAAAGGAGCAAGTCTCAGTTTCCTTTCAACTTCTTTGGCTACAGGCTTCCATAACACAGTAGTCTCTCTCTCAGTCAGTACTTTATTTGTGAGTCTTCTAGCTTTATGCACCGTTGTTGGAAGCTCATCAAATAATGGTTTCCTGCGCCTTTTCCTTTGGCTTGGAGGCCGAATCGGCCTTGGGGCTAGGATAGGTTTCTCTGCTTCACACTGTGGTACCTTTACATTCATCTGAGAGGGTGAAATGCAAGATTCCTTGACATCTTTCTGTGCAGTATTTTGTATGGTGATCATTTTCTTTACTCCACTTGAGGCTTTTGCATTAGTTTTGTTTGATGACACTAAAAAACACTGGGTCTGAGGTCTGGTGGCCAAAAACAAAGGCTGACTGCTTGAGGTGGGAGCGCCACTTGTAAGGAGGCTACCAGAAGGAGTGACAATTTTAAATATGACTTTGTTTCCAGTACTGTCACTGGTTTGGCTATACTGAGCCCCAGTCTTTGCATCTTGGTTGTTCAATAGTACGCCTGATTTGGGTGGAGAGATGTATCGGAGCAAGAACGCCTGACGACCAGTCTGCAGAGTGCTGGGTTTGTCTGCAGAGCTCACGGGCATGGCCAGAACTGGCCGTGAGTTCAGTGGTAATTGTGCACTTGCCAATCTGAGCCCAGGAGTACTGGGGGTCTGAACAAATGGAACAGACCTCTGAACTAAGTAGCAAGTTGGCTGCGTCTTTGCTGTCTTGTCTGTAGGTGTATTATGCGGTGTGCTTGAAAGGAGTACAGGACCCTTAAAAGTTGGGCTGTTGATAAAGTAGTGACTTGAGGTGGTGCTAACACCTGGTTGAACAGCAGAGAGAAGGGATGTACCTTTTTCAGTGGCTCCTGCCTTTGGTGCCGAGATACCTATCCTGCTGTTTGGAGCAAGGGTTATGCCAGTAGGGTTACTTGATCTTTCTAACCCTGGCTTCATGTAAGATAAATTGATCTGAGGGTTAGCAGAATTCGTTATCAGTTTGAAACCTGGGTTGGCCTTGACCTGCAATGGCATGGCAAATCGATTCTCAGTAGTCCTAAGGAGTACTGATTGCTTACCCTCTGGCAATTGAAGAATTCGTAGAGTTGTTTTTGTTTGTTTTAAAGAATCATTGCTTGCACTAGAAGATCCAACTCTTTCTTTATTAAGTTGTTTGGTTATGATTGCGTCTGAATGTTCCTCCACAAAACTGCCCAGGGAAGTTGAACTACAGTTGGTTTCTGACTGTTTTTTGGATATAGGAATGCTCTCCTCCTCTATTTTGATAATATTAAAGTCTTGGAGCACTGACTCAGGATTTTCATCCTCCGTTGGAGAATTATCAACACTAGCTATGCACTCATCAACCTCAATATCACTATCAGACACTTTGCTTATGCCCTCCCAAATATTTTCTTGAATTGAGTCTTCTCCATTGCCACTTTCTGTGATTGGTTCTGGAGACTCTGCCAAAGTCAAGCTAAACTGAGATGACTCGCAAATAAGTTCTTTTTCTGCTGAATGTTCAGACATATGGGCAATATTTTGGGTAGTGTTAGGTGATGTGCTGAATGTCTCCTTGGAATAATTGTGAAAAGTAAATACTTCTTGGTTTGGTGAATTTTGTGAGCAGTTTTCAGAACCCATGGCACTTTCTCTGCTGCTGCCTGGAATAGGTGGGGATGACTCTGACAGAGGCTGGTTTGTTGAAGGCTTCTTAAAGATTTGCTGGCCATTTTTATATTTAATTTCAGTTCTAACCCTGTTAGGGTTATCCTTTTCGGGAGTACTGTGAGAAGATTGATCTTCATTTTCTATAGTGTTAAAGGAAGAGTTGTCTGCTACTGTATCAGTCATTGATAACTCATCTGCTGCCCCACAGTTTTCAACTGTTTTTCTCGAGATTTGTTTGGAAAGCAATGTTTCCTGAGCAACTTTTGAAGTTGGAGATAAACCAGTGACCTTACCGGCACACACAGTATTGCTGCTTTTTTGGCTGTTTGCATCAGAGTTACATGTTGAGATTGAGATATCAAACTTACTTCTCTCTGAGCAGGTGTTTTGACTTGGGTGACTTTGGGCGCACACATGATCAAACTCATTTGTCATGGGATATAACGTATCTGCACAAGTCAAAGATCTATTTAGCATACGATTAGTCTGTTCCTCAACATCAACTCTGTGTGGGATGGAATCAAAGTTGCAAACAGAGGTTTCTTCCTCCTCAGTCTTTACTTTTACAGCCATAATATCATCTTGATCCATATGTAGGCAAGATCCACTTCTTGGTGAAACTGCAAGGCAATGCGATGTTGAGCTCTTGCCATCAAAGCGTTCCCCATTCTCAATAGAGACTTTACTTTTATTCAACACAGGATTTGGTGCTGAGGAGCCCACATCTTCAACTGAGGAATGGTTCTGCATGCATGAGTCTTGCTTTGCTGTTGGTATTACTTTGAGAACTAAATGTTTTTTGCCATCAACCATCTTGAATCCCATTACTTTGGTTGTGCAGTTGGGGGGAAGAGAGATTTTGTTCTTAACCATCAGAACCGTCAGTCCATTAGGATTGGCGTGGCTTGCAGCATCAGAATTTGCAGAGTTGTCACATTCCTGTAACATTACTGGCATTGACTGATCTGTGTTATGAGAGCCTTTGCTCCAATTTTTGTTGTCCTTTTTTGCTACAATTCCATCCGCAAAATGGTGGGTCTCCTCTAAGGATATTTCTGGTTTCATTAGCCTGCCATTTTGGTTTGATACACTCCCAGAAAGACTGTTCACTTTTGATATCCTCTGAGCCTCCTGTGATTCACCACTCTTTTTTAGCAAAAGTTTTAAGCTTGCAGATGAATTTGTTGGAGTGCCATTGTCTTCTATAGCCTTCCATACATTCCTTCTCTCAGCCTCCTCTTTGTGTACAGCTGCCATGTGCTTCTTAAGGTACTCGCTCCTTGCTGCACCATATCCACATATCTGACAAGTGAAGGGGAATGTACCCAAGTGAGCTTTCATATGCTTCTGGTGATCCTCTTCATTCATGCTGATGTGCCTGCATTTTGAACACTTCCAAGGACTCTCATTATGATGATGGATGTGCTGGACGAATGTACCTGCATCCACAGTTGTAAACTCACACCAGTCACAGTTAAACTGTCCATTTAGACTATGACACATGATGTAGTGTCTGGTAAGCAGAAGCAGAGAGTACTGAACATCGTCGTTGCAGAGCTCACATGTAACCAGAGTATTCCTGTGCTCAATCCGATGGCGTTGAAGAGCAGGGAACTCATTCGTGACAAACCCGCACAGGTCACAAGGGTATGTAGGAAGTGTTCCTTTATGAGCTGCTCGAAAATGTTTAAGGAGATCATTAGGGCTATATGTTGAATCATCTTTACACACCGAGCATTCAAAACTCAGAATCTTGCCGGAGAAAACAGCCCCCTGGTGAATTTTACAATGGGTTTTATTGAGAGTTTGTTTATCCTTCTTGGTGGAACTCCCATGGTCCTTAATAGAAGATTCTTCTGCATTATTGAAGAGTGATCCATCTGTCACTTCTCTGAAATGCTTATACACAAAGTCTTTTACCTTTTCTTTTTCATCCTCTGCTACTGATATGTTGCAGTTTTTGGCAGAATCATGAGGTATTGTGAGGTCTTCTTCCATAGTTGTAAAACTGCTGATACCTGTAAGAGAGGAAATCAAATGTGTTTTTCATTAATACAAGCAGAACACTCCCACTTATTCTAAATGCATGCACTGGACTCCATAGATTCATTCGTTCTTTGGGTGAAAAACTGAACCTTTATTTTGAAATTTAAGCCATGACGTTCACAGTTGCACCTCTCCTCCGGTCACTTCCTATAACCGATATCCCCATGACTATCCTGCAACCAGATATCAAAAACAGCGGCTCACCTTTTGTTGTTCAAACTCAGCTCTCGGACCTCAGGACAGAGGTCTCCTCTGCCGTGTAGTCTGCTTGAAACAGACCCACCGAACCAATCTCTTTGTCTTACAGCAGCTATTACACAAAGTCAGCCAGCTAACTTTACAAGCAACAGGAGCAACAAAGCCAGTTAACGCTGGGCTGTTAACTCTGTAAGCCGAACAAATGATGGAGCGTTCATTTTGTCTGACCTGCATAATCGGAACACTGCCCAGACTGCATCATTCGACAACGGAACCACAACTTTTCCCAGCTGGAGCAGCATACCAAAGCAACTCTTCTCCCTCCGGGGACTCATAATGTTAACTTAACATGCATTATATAGCGTAGCAGTGAACACGGCAGGGATGCACGATTTGGAGAAGGTCATATATTACAATTAGACCTATTGTGGACAATATGAGACAGCCGCAGTGGTTCAGTGGTTAGCACTGTCGCCTCACAGTAAGAAGGTTGTGGGTTCAAACCCTGGTTGCCCCAGCCTTTTCTGCGTGGAGTTTGCATGTTCTCCGCGTGGGTTCTCTCCGGCTTCCTCCCACTGTCCAAAGACAGGCTAGGTTAATTGGGGTGTCTCTAAAACTGTCCTTAGGTGTGAGTGTGAGTGTTTTTTTGTCAATGTGTAGATGGACTGGCGACCTGACCAGGGTGTACCCAGCCTTTCGTCCAATGTCTCCAGCCCCCCCGCAACCCTGTACGCAGGATAAGTGGTTGATGATGGATGGATGGAACTATGAGGCTACTTGCTTGATTATAAAGCAAAAAAAATAAATAAATAAAATACTGACATTTTGAAATGTGTATTTCTCAACAAAGTTAAAAAAATGTTGACACCGGTCCAAAAATACTGATTTTGCCACAGTGAAGGAACAAGTATAAATGAGTAGTATAATATTATAACATTAATAAAAAGGTATAATGTTCAGTTAATAGTATACTGTTAGTTTTAATCTATTAATTACTATATTCATTATAATTTCATATAATAGTATATCAGCATTTCAGTGTGAAAGCCTTCCTCCCCGGGCCAAAACTCCTACCTTGGCAACACCTCATCTAAGAGTTGCACCATGTAAGCGTTAGGCTGGGCCTCAACCCTCTTCGAGCTCACAAATTTGTTTCTTTTCTAGTTTCCTCAGCCGTCTCTCTTTAAGTTTTTATGCCTCACCTAAAGTCAGTGCACAATATTAGTTTTAACTAGTTTTATCAGCAAGCCTTTAAAGGATTTCTTTTAATTTGTTTTTTGTAGCCTACAATGTAGTCTCTCACACTATTTCTCTATTTTAGTTTTATCTAGCCAACACAAGTAGAAGCCCAGCTGAAGAAGTTAGGGTAGTCCGGTATTTTATTCAAAAAACCACAGCTGTACCTGAACTGTTGGAGCAAATTTTGAAAGTAACTTTCTGAAATCCTGGATCTCTGCAGTCAGCCCTGAAACAAGACTGCCAGACCAGCTGCTCACAAGGAGTCACCTGGGAGCATAACTGCACTTCCCACTGCACGGCGGCCTAAACCCTGCACACAACCACAATGCCAAAGCCAGCTGGAGCAGCTCGTCTCTGCCAGCACTTCAAAACGGTAGGCTGAACCACGCTTTTTTGCTGTCATGAAAATGTTGAATAAAATATTTGAATTCCCATTTAGAGAAGTTAAGTGCCCTAGCTTTACGTTAGCATCTTACTGCTGTGTCTCACCTTCAGATTACGTACCTCACTATTGCAAATAAGATCAGGTTCTATTCATCTGTTGTTTGTTAATTTTCCTTATTAAACCTTGATTTATTGGCTATTTAGCTATAGATAAATACCCTCTTATGAATAAGTTGTAGGTGTGTCAATTTATCGAAATAATTCAATTCCTTCTTAAGAGACTGATCAAATTAATGATTGAGTTTTAATTAATTTGGTTTAATTTCCCTGTTATTAACAGATGGTGGTGCCCAGAGGACTATGGCTACATTTATATGGCACTTTATAACACTTGACAAGGTCCTGCTCATTCTCACACACACACACACACACACACACACACACACACACACACACACACACACACACACACACACACACACACACACACACACACACACACACACACACCACACACACACACACACACACACACACACGCCAACCATCAAGAGCTATTGGGGTTTAGTTTCTTGCCCGAGGGCACTTCAATATGTGGAGCCACAGCCATCCCAACAATAAAGTAATTCTGTAGAGAATTAAATCCCTTACCTATAAAATTCACTATTTTTAAATATGTAATATCGTTTTTATTTTCTTGATTATAATTATCATTGTAGAGTTGCCTATATTTGTATAAAACAGAAAAAAAATGGAATAATCTGACTCAGCCCCCACTGACATGACACTCACTTGGAGATATTGAGAGACATTTAGTCAAAACAGAATCACTGCATACCAGTGTTGTCAGTTTTAAATGAAGTGATACACATTGTTTGGCAAGTATACTGCCTGGTCACTGACTGCTCAATCAGAGTCGTTAGAAGAAACACATCCCAACCAATCAGAACACTCAGAGTCTGTTCTCCCTTCTTGCATGCAAATTACCTCCTTACACACTTGCTCTTTGCTCTCACGGTAAGCATTTCAATACAATGTGCAAATCTAACTGAAAGAAAAAGGTTTTTTCAGAGACTACATATGCATTTGCCTCTTTTTTTCATTTTAGCATAGTGCACCTCAAGCTTCCCGTGAGATTACATTGACAGCTCAGTCTCTCCAATTCCTTAGTAAAACATTATACTCTGTGTCTGAGATAAATTAAATATATATATAATTAAAGAAAGCCTTGACTGAAGAACCACTACGTAAAAATAACCAAACATGTAAGAGGGACTTCACCAGGTGTCCATAAGCTCGTCAGAAGAATGAACTGTTAGGAAGCAGTTGTGACTCAAGACAACATATGCTTCTTAAACCACAGAATTTAGTTTGTGGTGATCACAGCATTCAATATATACCTGTTGACATAAAGTCAATAATCTGAGAACCAGAAAAAAATCCTTTCACTTCCACTGTATTAAGGGTGCTGGCAGAAATCTAAGACTTCACAAAACCACCAAAATTATCTACATGTCTATATACCACTAGTCATAAGTGTACCACTAGTAGTCATACTAAAAACAATAATCATATAATAATTGCTGAATAAAATCTAAAAGGTAGAAAATGGAATTAGTGTCTAAGCAAGTAAAATAAGTCCCACAATGCATCCACACACCAAGGTGGGGGGGGGCGGTCGATACATAATAGTATCGTGAATAGTATTGTATTTGGCAATACTGTATCAACAGGACCATATAGAGGACTGAAAAAGTGATATGAACAAACAGAGAAATGTATCTTTTTAGATAAACAGAAGTTTGACTTTAGGGACCTAATTAGAAGTTGGAAAAAGGTAATAAATTGCAATATATCTCAATGTATTTTAAATTTGATTTGATTTGTAAATCAAATCACAACATAAATATCGTGATAATATCGTATCGTGGGGCCTCTGGTGATTCCCACCCTTACAAGGTTATAGCTTGATTGCTCACGTAAGAATAAATGGTACAAATACATTTAATAAGCAGTTATTACCTGTTCTCCTTTAGGAAAAACCCAAACATTTAATGCATGATGTCTCTGCAGAAGAGGAGCTTGTAGTGTAGTCACGGTGCCTGTAAAACATAAGCACAAAATTACAACTTCCAGTTTCCAACAGAATTTTACGTTTAAATACCAAATTAATTACAATTAAATACACTATGGAAAATTGTGTAGGATCTATTTGTGGACACTATTTTGTTTAACAAAACAAAGATCGTTTTCTTGATTTCAACCAAAGTGTTTATATTGACAAATTATTATTATTAGTTTAATGTTACGAACTTGAACAACTTTCCTGGTTTCACTAAAAAACAGAAAACATCACGCCACACAGGGTTGGGCAATATGACACTATATATCCTGCGATTGAAGAAATGTGTCCACCAGTAGAGATTTGGCAATACCATTTCCACCGCATGAGCTACCCCTCAGTGTCTCTGCTATACAGTATATTCAGGGCAGGCTTACTACCAAATCAGGGCTGGATTCTCATGTAATCTCGTCATCTTGAGAATCCAACTGCCTCACAAGGTAGAGTAAAGTAACGCGAGGTAAAGGGATTTGGGCAGCAGGACTGCTTACAACGTGTTCACGTGAGAGTGACAGTTGGTTGATGTAACGCACCTCTAAGCTGGTTTGTCAACCACCACAGAAGAAGAAAGAAAACAGAGCAGGAGCAGTTTGTATTTGTATGGAAGTTCCAAATAAAAGGTGATAATTAAATGTGATAAAGTACAGTATGGTTATTTTATACCATAAAAAAAAAAAAAAATTATATATATATATATATATATATACACACATACACACATACACACACACACACACACATACATACATACATACATACATACACACACACACACACACACACACACACACACACACACACACACAGAACAATTACTGTATCTTATAGCCTATACCTTTAACGGGATATAAATTCGTATCACCTACCCCTCATGCCACATGAGCTGCAGTTCATGCCACACTGCTGAGTGGTATACAGTTTGGACCTAACATTACTAGTATGTATACTACTTACTGTATATATATTTATATTTCTATCTAAGAGGTTTGTCAGATTTAACCGCACACAAAATTTCCTTTTGACTCTAAACTCATAAAAACTAAAACAAGAAACCCTTTAAGACATCAACTTTGCGGTAAAAAAACAACAAAATAAACCCTTTACTGTAACGGTGGGATCGGAGCTATTAAAACATCTCTCTGGCAATCAGGACTTACAGGTCCCCTGTGGAGTCTTTAACCTCTACAAGCGTTAAGGAGCAGTCTTTTCTGTTTAGCAGCATGAAAAGTTGCATTAAAAAGGGACACGGAGTTGACCGAAAAAAAGAAAAGAACAAAAATCACAGAAGCAGTCAACAGCGTTGAGATGGACAGCAGGACTCCAGCTGAGGTTTGAATATTTCATTTATACATCAGTGATGTCCATGGTTCAATATGGACTAGTCTTTTCGACCATTCAAAGCGCTTTTATACTACATCGCATTCACCGTTCACACACGTTCATACACTGAGCCTAAGTGCTCTAACAGAAACTAACATTCACACACTGGCGGAACAGCCACCAGGGGAAATTCGGGGTTCAGAATCTTGCCCAAGGACACTTCGACATGCAGCCTGGGGGAGATTGAACCGCCGACCTTCTGATTAATGGGCAACCCGCTCTACCTCCTGAGCCTCAGCCGCCCTAGATGACGACTAGATAACAATAATAATATGATAGTTTATGCTGCAATTCTTTTTATTTAGATGAAGAAAAGCTTGCCAGACCTCAAACAGCGTGTTGATGACCTTAGGCGCAGCAGCAAGCAGACGCCAACCTGACACTGACCCAGACTGAGGATCGAATAGCCGGTCATCGGGTCTGAATCACTGCCTGAAGGCAGCCTTACAGAACCAGGAAACTGCATCCTGTGCTCCCTGTGCCAGCCCACCACGATCCTCAATTGTAACATCACAGGTCCTGGAATACTTGGTATTAATGGTTAATGGGTAACACCTAATCTCTGTTAACTATTGTAAATCATATCTAAACTTCAGTACTGTGTTAGTGCTGGGCACAGGTTCATGTATGGCACATCACAGGCATCCTGTAATCCAGCACAATGCTGTGCAGAACCCCACAGGCCAAAATTATGTCACACACATTCTCTCTTTTGCTGCACGTACGTCCACACCGACTCCACTCCACCGGGCCAGTTGGTTTGAAACATACTGGCCCAATGACAATTTTTACTGGCCCTCCTTCTAATAGTTATTTATCAGTGACTTCTAAGTTATCTTATACTGTTAACTTGTTATACTTACAAAACATACATCACAAAACATACGAACAGACTCAAACACGACGTGCTCTCTCTCCCGCTGACAGCCATTTAATAAAAAAAAATGTACACAGCGCAACGAATACAAGTCGCCTCTATCCTGATTGACAGGTCCCGCCCAAAAGCACATGCTGCATTATTGTCTATTTTCCCCCTAAATAGGACAACCATAATTTACTCAATGAACATCATGTTGTGTTGAAGAAGACTTGAAACTAGCGACTGAGACCATAAACTCATTATGAAAGTGTTTACTGAGGTAATAATTCAGCTGAGAAGTAGCAACATTTTACCATTATTTCTAATGGAACCGGACCTCTTTTTGCAGCCAGCGGACTCACCGCTTCTGGCCGTCTGCGTGGTTTCACTTTCAGACCCAGAGGCTGCCGCTTGATTGAGATTATAGAAATCACATCTAACAACCACTCGTCACGTAACTACAGATCTGGATTGGACAACGGTGAGCGGCAAGAGCTGCAGGATGATCAGTTTAAATAAAAAACAAAAAAAAGAAATACTAACGTTTTTTGCGTGCCATTGAGTTGCTAGTTCAACTGATTTTTACAAGCCCCGGGCCATCGGGCCACCGCTATGGAGCCCTGGTGAGATCTGATTGTAGCCTCCGCTCACATTCAGACTGATGTTGTTGTTTTCTGTCAGATGTTTGTTTGATTATAGAGAGCCGATGTGTTCTTTTGAGAAACGCAGAATGGAAATGTAACTTTGGAAAAACATAAAACAAATTACTTTTACAAGAAAATGCCATAGGGAACCTTTAAATTTACCTAGGGAAAGAAGTAAGAGTTAACGAATAGTGCAATTAATACAAAAAAAATTGTAAGGAGAAGAAGAGCACAGGAAGTGCATGTTAGAGGTTAGAGGTGTTATAAGAGGAAGTGTTCTCGGAAGGGATGAGTTTTCAAGAGCTTCTTGAAGTTAAAGAGGGACGCTCCTGCTCTGATGACATGTGGTAGCTCGTTCCACCACCGTGGTGTCACAGATGAGATAATGAGGAATCATCTAAAGAAATAAATAGCCTGACATAACATTTTAAACAATGGATTAAGCGACTACTTCACTTCCACAAAGAAATAACACATCTGCAGAATACACCATCTCCAATTTGAGGATCAACAGTTTTTCTTTTCAGATCACTGTTTTACGAATCTCCCAGCCAGTGCCTTTAGGGTCAGAATCATTTTAATCACAGAACTAATCAAGTGTTAAATGTGGAGCTGAAATGATTTATTGATCTTTAATAATTACTCATTTCAGTCATTTTCTACAAAATACTCCTCAGTAAAGAGCTATTGGCTGCTTTCCTTTAAAGTTTAGTACCATTATAAGAGCACTCCACGGATTTAACATTGCACACTGTTGGACTCATGACGGACAGGTCTTTCCAGCCCATTTATCACATCACTTTCATTCACTTTTAGTCTTCAGCCCCACCCAACGCTGACTCACCCAGCTTTCCTTCCCACCCAGATGTGCTACTTTGTGTATGGAAGGTATCGCCAAGGTGTCAGGGAGTTTGACCAGGACTACATAGACCCGGCCAACGACCAAACCACTCCATACCCGCCTGCTCTGTACGTCAGCAGCGGCCCCACAGGCTACCAGCAGTCGCCTTCCCCCCACAACCAGGAGAAACCGGGAGAGTACCAGCCTCCGTCTTATTGAAGGACTGTGCCAATCCAAGGGGAGTTTTCTTTTTAAATAAAGATGTGTGTCAATGGTTTCATTTACAACTTGGACTGTTCTCTGCACTCCCATCTTCTTCCAGCAGAACGCGTTTGCATATTTCCTCAAATATGCAATACCCCCCCCCCTCCCCCCATCACCAGGAAACGCACTTTGATGTGGAAAACAAGTGGTGATCCCCTTTAATATCTTTGGATTGTTACAAAACAAGCAGCGTGATAACATCACGTTGGCTTTAGGAAATTGGAGCAGACCTAAGATAAATCAATTGTTCAGCAGATTAGTTAAAGGGCAATTTAAAAAAAATACTATTTTACACTGAACAGATAATGACAGTAATGGTGGCAGCATCAAGATAACTGAAAATCAACACAGGAAAAGGTTCATTTGCACGTAGGATAGTAGTACCCTCTATAAATGCAAACAACCCAATTACATAAGCATAATGCAAATGAGTCTGTTCAAATACAGTGTTGAATACTTGTATTACCACCTCAGTTCAACATTACACTTTAAAAGTATTAATGTTAAGATCAGCAGGAGACCTGCATCAGCCTTCAACCCCATATGTCTCTGTCAGCTGTCAACCCTGTAGGTCAGAGGAAGCCATGTTGGGGGAAAAATGGCTGTCATGATTTTATGACTTATCTGCACCACCTACTTCAGTCTAGGAAAATTTTTATTTCTGCTAATAGTGTTTCCACAAACACGTGGATTTAAATAATTTATTTCAATAACACACTTACAAGATGGACATTAAACAATCCAAATCAATTTTAACTATACAGGCTTACTGAGCTTTGATTATTACTAATAAAACTGGATATATGAAACTAATATCATAAAACAGAACGAGACTTTAGTGAACACCTGCAGACAGGTAGGCTACTCTAGGCCAACACAACCTAAATGGGCTAGATAAATGCAGCTTGGAGATGAGAAGAAAAGTTGCATCGTCTCCCAACTGCAATTCCAGCTTCAGTACCACACACGGGGACAAGTACAACATGTTGCAAAAAGGTGAATCTCTGCCATAGCATTACAAATCGAAAGCTGAATTTACTGTGTGTGTACTTTTTCGAGTGACTTGCTCCATAGTCGCTTAAGTTTAGGAAACGCGAGGGAACGCTGCATTAGTGGGAGCATCAAAGGCTGTACAGACAGACAGCAACAAAGGAGTCCAGACTATGCACTGACATGTTTTTGCACTGTGGCAATTCATATGTCGATACACGGAAAATATGTTAACCACTTCGCGACAATGTTAGTGTCTGTGGACTTTAATAACCAGTTATTTTACACCAAAATAAAGCCCCCACCCACGCGAAGATATTCAAAGTTACAAAAAATCTGTTGCTTCTTACTATTAACTCGATGGAAGTTCAGGCGGCGTCCCGTCAACGTCCGACATTATAAAAAGGAGGTTATGGTAGAAAAACACACAGCAGAAACATTTGTCTTCCTTCTCTCCTCTCTATGGAACCACAGCGACGGCGGCCATGACAGTCCATCCGGGTACTGCTGCGCTCTTGACACTCATGTAGAAGCGGATGAATATGTATTGCTTGTCAAATACCAAACTAGTGCCACGCAGGACATAGTTATGTAGAAAACAGTTAAAACAACTTTCACTAAAGTTGAAATATATTCGGTTTAACTAGACGTCCACGCGAACCTGACGGTGTTTTCGCAGAATGAGCCCTACGTCATTCGCAGCCTGTGCGCGCGCGCGTGTTTGTGTGTGTGTGTGTGTGTGTGTGTGTCTACAAGGTGGAAGAAGAAGCAACGAGCAGCAATGGCGGATATACGCCATTTCCTACTGAATGCGTTACATGTAGACTGATATGACTTTGTTGGTCCATGATAGGGAATGATTTTATTTTTCACTGCAAATACAATTACATCATTTCTATTTGCCTCTCTCTTTGTCTCTTTGTCACTGTCTCATACACACGCACACACACGCACACACAAAGACAGGAGCACAGACGTGCAGTAATGGAGGATGTGAGGCTGATACATTGTTGCCTCATCACCCAACATGGTAGCTTTGTGTACTTACAATGTTTACACCATATTAATAGCCTTAAAAGGGTAATTAGATTTAAAAGCCTTAGTTAAATCTCTCTGACTGTGCTTGCTTCCCCCTTTCTCTCTGCTCCTGACATTATTATGTTATGGTTGAGCATTATATAGACTGCCATTATATCCATTCGGATTGAGGACACTACCATAGAGTTGATGATTTCATTGATTGTGATAGTCTATTCAACCATATATTCAGAAATAATGTTAAAAATAAATAACAATATCTGCAAAAACAATTTGCCAATGGCCTATACAGGGTGGATAAAAAACAGAATCCTGAAAAACACTCAACACAAGGTCTATAATTTATAATATTCTGGTCTTTCGATTATGTTACAAGATCCTTATGAGTAGATTGACTTTATCCAGGTGTCATAGAATTGTAGATTTCCTTTTTTTCTCTGGAGAATATGTTGGCTTAAAAGCTGGAACTCTCCAGCACTCGGAAACATGGAAACTTGAGCATTGTCATAAAATTCAACGAAACTCTGGTGATGACCATGTGACATGATGGAAAGCTGTAGAACAGGAGAACAAATGGACCTTGTGGTAATTGCGGTAATTTCTCAACGGCTGTTTCCAAGAACCTCTAAATGCGAATGGTTAAAAACATATTGGTTGTGCTTTCTAGTGGATGAATCAATTACTAGGTAAAACTAGGTAAAAAGTGTGACACATATATAGCAACTTCGAGAAGAAGTTGTGGACTGAGCTAAAATGCTGTTCTGTCTTAATATTTAATGTAACAGGTGTCACTCATAGTGACAAATCCTCAGATACTCATCTCCCACCTTTTCAGTCCTTCTCTGCTGCTTAGTCTCTTTTAGCTCAGTGTTTAGTTATATGGACTACATATTCGAATCTCTGTTGTCATCACATAAACTCTGAAAACCCATTGTACACCCCTGCCCGGCACCAAAGAGCAGACAGTACACAGTTACAGACTAGCTGGAGAGCATAGTGAAGCATTTATCAGCTAAAGAAAATATCTATACTATGATATGGAGTTACATCAATCTGGTGGCCAGAAAAACAGCTCCAAATGAAAGCTAATGTTGCTCTGTGTCTGCTGGATGTGTAAGTAGCCATCTGCTTTTGCTAACGTCATAGACGTAACAGTTTTATAAGGCAATAACTTGTCATAGATGTGTGTTTTTAAGCTTGTTCCTGTGCCCTCAAGTGGCCAGAATGAATCCACTTTGACATGGATAGACTGAAGGGATGTGATGGTTGACCGATCATCCTTAATTTTATTAAGGTATCACAAATGGTCAGGTTCATGCAATGTGCAAAATAATTCCGTCTACAAAACAACAGTTTGCTTAATATGAAAGGAATGCATACAAACTTGTCAAAACACACCAAATTTTTTGCCCTGAAAACAGGCACTGCTATGACATTTTGCAAAGTACTCTATGTGCTGGTCTGGTCTAAAGGTACAGTTATTAGCCTTAATAATTTACTGGATAAAATTCTTCGGAAGAGGAAGGGGCTCTTTTTCACTGCAAGGTCCAGCAGATAGGGAACTCCTAGCACTATGTCTGAATTTACAATATTTTGTCTTAAGGTGAGAACTACATTCTGTTGTTGTTGCTCTGATGCACCACTACAGCTAAGTCTGTGCATGGTAGTAGTCACAGAGGTCAGTAGACCATTCAACATATTCTCACAAACTTAACGATTTGGTCAGTTTTACTATCCCACCCTGCATACAGGGCCTCTCAAAATCCTTTTAAAATTTTTTTTTACTGTAGCTCAAAGTAATTTGAATGTTTGACTAGAACAGCAAGGACACATGATGAGGCCTGCAAACTAGACATCTGTCGTTACTAGGGATGGCTATCGAGCGGCGATACATTTAACTTATCGACCGAAATATCGAGTAGAATCGAAATGTCTCAAACCAGTACTTCATTCGATACTTTTTGTAAACAGATCACCTTGTGCCTGCACCCACTAGTAAGTCCATGCAAGATTTTAACAGCCCTTTCACCTTTGGCTTCCGTCCCTGTTCGTCACTGTTGCAAGTTTATCTCCACAAGCTTGGCTTTCTGTTGGTTTATCTTCTGGTATCATTTAATACTACTCTATACATTATTTACTATTCACATCAATTGTCACCAATCAATCACTGCATTCCACCATATCAATTAGAGCTTTTATGGCGCAATTAGCAATCAGCTGATTTTACTCATGGAGCCTCCAGCTGCAGTTGCGGCTGATATCAAATGTAGTCTGTGTGATCAGCTGGATTTGCAGCCTCTCTCTTCCTCTGTTTCAATCGGGAAGCTTCCGGTCTAAGATGTGAATCCAATGCGGAAGTCCCGCAATAGAATGCAGGTTTAAGGGAGGTGTGAGACTCTTCTGGTTGCAAAAGAAGTATGGTTCCATTAGAAATAATGGTAAAATGACCCTACTTCTCACCTGATTTATTACCTCAGTAAACACTTTCCTAATGAGTTTATGGTCTCAAACGCTAGTTTCATGTCCTCTTCAATAAAACATGATGTTCAATTTTAAGTAAATTATGGTTCCATTTAGTGGAAAATAGACCATAATGCAGAGTGTGCTTCAGGGCTGGATTATCTATGATTGACAAGTCGTTACCATGACGACCTGGTCCGTTGCCGCTGGTTGCAAAAACTTGGCACCCTAACGGCCAAACTCGAGGCTTCAGAGCAGTCCACAAACCACCGGGTGACGTCATGATGACTACATCCACTTCTTATATACAGTATGCTCTGTTTGCTTCTTAATTAGGGGTTGTACCAGAACAGGTTTACATGGTTTAATTTGCAAAAAACACCATATTTTTTTTTGTCATACTGCACCTTGCTGCAGCTCCTTTTATCATCCTGTGTGTTAAAGGCTTCATTTTAGCTGTGGAGTGATACATCTTGCCTCTACATGATCTTTGTTGGGAGTTGCACATGTGCAGTTCCTAGTTAAGGACTATACTAGCAAGTCAGAAGCAGAGAATGGTGGGTCAGCAAGAAGCCGGTAACACAGCTTCAGTTCATCTGTACATGTTCCCCTTACCAGCTTAGCAACATGGACTGGAGCAAGAGTTTCAGAGTGGTGAGTTATTAATCTGTAACAAAAGTATCTTTCATCCATAAACTTTTAACTGAGCTCTGTCTCTACATCACAGTAACAACTTTAGGTCCACTGACTGCCTGGAGGGTAGCTAGTGTTTGGAAGGGAGAGGAGAGCTGTGTGCTGCAGGTCAGTGTTTTTCCACTGGTGTTTTTGAGAGCGTGTCGGACTAGCCTGGAGAGCATTATATGAGGCACATTTAGCTTTCATCACTGTGACGTCACAGGGATGAAAAGGGAAGCGGCTGGACTACAAACGAGCTGTTTTCAGGCAGTTCAGAGCAGAGTTTTCTGTGGGAGATGGGAACTCCCTTTGGGGTGGACTTTGGGCTTTTTCACTTTGCAAACCTGTTACATGCACAAAAAACATATATAACTCAATAAAGGAGAGGGGAGAGGCAAAAAGCAGAATACCACATCTTTAATCGTTTTCTACTTCTTAATGTCATCTTTTATAGAGGAAGTTTGCAACTCTCTACTAAAGTAAACAGCACTTGCGGAGATCTTTCAATTCAGTTTATTAATTGAAAGTAAACAAAATAATTCTCTTTTGACTTTCAACAAACAAATTTTACTTAAATTCGTTTTACACAAATCATGTGGTCACTAAAACGCTTCACTGTCTCTCTTTCAAATAGGCTACAAAAAAACTCCCAAGTTGGCCCCCTTCCTCTGAGGATGACAAAATTAGGATGAGGAGTGATCTGATTCAGTTTCCCAATATTTTTATATAATGTTTTTGAAAAAACGAAAACCTTGCTTGCCCATAACAACAAAAAAATAGCAGGGTATCGAATGAAGCACTCCATTGGTATCGGTATCATTGGTTTTGCTACTGGAATTGCTGTACACAGGATAAGCGGTTGACAATGGATGGATGGATGGTACTGGAATCATAAAATTTTAAACGATACCCAACCCTGAATGCTTTCACATGAACAACTGAGTGCAACAATTTATAGGGCTTCTGTTAGAGACTGTCTAAAAAGACATTTGCGTTATGACATGGTAAGGCAAGTATGAAGAAGTTATTTTCTAGCATAATCCAACCCCGATATGAACTGGGGTTGAATTATTACCAACCCCTCAATTCAATTCAATTCAATTTTATTTATATAGCGCCAAATCACAACAACAGTTATCTCACAGCGCTTTTCATAAAAGAGCAGGTCTAGACCGTACTCTGTGATGTTATTTACAGAAGCCCAACAGTTCCCACCAAGAGCAAGCACTAGGCGACAGAGGCAAGGAAAAACTTCCTTTTAAGAGGCAGAAACCTCGAGCAGAACCATGGCTCAGGGTGGGCGGCCAACTGCCTCGACCGGTTGGGGTGAAGGAGAAAGAGAGAGAGAGAGAGAGAGAGAGAGAGAGAGAGAGAGAGAGAGAGAGAGGGGAGGGAGGCAGCCTACACAATATACACACAGAGGTACAGACAGTGAAGGTAATGTTGCTATAGACTGAATGAAAAATGGTACAGATATTTATAATAGTGTTAATGGTAACCATCGTAATGTTAATGATTATAATAACAATAATAACAATAACACTAGCAACAATAGTCGTTGCAGTAGAGGGTGTCGAGCAGGAACACAGGGGCAGCAGGTGACCCGCAGCCACAGATCCAGACTCCACAGCTCCAGAGCCAGAAAACCTGCAGGAAGTGATAGAGGAGAGGGACGAGAAAG